TATGTGAGTTGTGTACACAATTTTGGTTTGTGGGTTAATAGATTAATTTTCATCTGTGTATAGCTAAGTGCACTATTGTGTTTTCTTATATCTCTCCAAGGTGAGTACTAGAGGGACCCCTAACTCTGGGGTGATAACATCTTCTGGTTGCTTAGATATGAAGTTATGGCCAAGGATTTTGAATGAATGGACTAAAGAGTGGATCAATGAATGGACAGATGGATAGACGGATGGATGGATGGATGGATGGATGGATGGATGGATGAATGGATAGATGGATGGATGAGTGGGTGGGTGGGATGTATGGATGGATGGATGGGTAGATAGGTGGATAGACCAATGAATAGATAGATGAATGGACAGATAGGTGGATGGATAGATGGATGGTGAACGGATGGACGGGTAAATGGATAGGTGGTGGATGGATGAATGGGTAACAAATGGATAACTAGATGGAGGGAGGGAGGGATGGATGGATGGGTGGATGGATGGGTTAGTAGATGGATAGGTGGGAGAATGGATGGAGGAATGAATGAATGACTGGATAGTTGGTGTACAAATGGCGTGGCGTCAGGCCTCATCTAACTTCAAGGTAATAGAAGAGAATCAACATCAGCATCAGCCCAGAGCTAATTCCTATGGGATGGAAGTCAGAAATACCTCCATTCTCCAAACTTTTTTTTTTTTTTTTTTTACCAATTCTGACACCAGCTGTCCCTCCCATAGCACTCTCTACTTCTCTGCTGGGTTCAATAATTCTTTGCAATGACCACACAAAACTTATAGACCATACTCACAGTTATGGGTTTTATTAGGGAAGTGACAGGTTACAATTCAGGATGAGGATCAACTTGGAAGTAACAGGAATGACTCAGGATACAGTTCTTCGATCAGGACAGCTTCTTCTCGGCCATGCCCACAGGCAGCCTCTCTCGTCTCTCGGCTCTTGCTCTCGACTCTTGGCTCCCAGCCCTCGGCCCTCACCCTTGGCCCTCAGCCTTCCTCTATGCCCTGCTTGGGCAAGTGTTACAAAGCTCTTTAGCTCTGCTGATAAGTGACCGAAGGCACCCTACTCCACCAGGAAGCCTCCTTCTTGAAGGTGCTCAGCTCTCTTACTCCATGGGTCAGTGAGACTAGCCTGCTGGTCCCATGCTGCTGCCATCTTGTGCTGTTTTCAGTGTTACAGCTCTCTGTCTCCTGGGTTTAAGGTTCTCAGCACAGGGATCCTGGGTCCAAAGGATGCACTCCACTCCTGGCTCTTCTTCTTAATGATAGTGAGGTTTCCCCCTCCAACTTCTGGGATTGGCTCCCTTTAAGCCTAGCAGGATGGCAAAACTGACCAATCCCCTACAAGGGTTCCATGCACCTTATTTCCATGCTCCTCCCCCCACAGGGTTCCATGCACCTTATTTGCATTAGCAAAAACTGTCCAATCTCCTTGGTAGGCCACAAGTACCTTATCTGCATAGTCCACCCAATCATTTTGTGGTAGTTACAAGATCAGGGCTAGAGGGCCATACAGAAGCAATTCACTGCACTGCAGTTGGACAAATGGGTGAATGGATGGGTGGCTGGATGGACAGATGATGAGTAGGTGATGAATGGATGTATAGATGGTTGCAGAGATGGATGGATGGGTGGGTGGAGGCTCAGGGAGAAGTAGAATCTTCATGTAGAATCCCTCAGCAAGTCAGTGGCTGTGAGAGAACTTGAATACAGATTCCACTCCCCTGCCCTGCCCTACACTGCCCTCTGGGACAGGTAAAGGCAAAGCAGCCCATACCATCTGGCTTCTGTCTGCCAAGGTTTCACACACCTCTGACCTTCACCAGGTTTCCCCAGGAGCTGAACGTGGGTAAAATCAGCGCTGAAGTGATGTGGAATCTGTTTGCTCAGGACATGAAGTATGCCATGGAAGGTGAGCCCCCCACCCTCATGTTTTCCAGCCTGACTGTGGTGGGTACTAGTGCCTCAGTGTCCTCTCCAAGGCTGTGAGTATTCTGGATCTGCCTACCTGAGGTCAGACACTAGTGATGATCAGAGGGGACAGGATGAAGGTGGCAGACCCTCCTGGCTGAGCTTCCCCCTTCTTGCACCACCCCCCACCCTCACCAGAGCATGACAAGCATCGCCTGTGCAAGAGTGCCGACTACATGAACCTCCACTTCAAGGTTAAGTGGCTCTACAATGAGTATGTGGCAGAGCTTCCTGCCTTCAGGGACCGCGTGCCCGAGTACCCCGCGTAAGTACCCTGCCTCAAGCCCAAGCCCAAGCCAGGACTGTAGAACCAACAGCTAGGATGAGGTCCAGAGAGGAGGGCTGACCTACTTGGGGTCACCTTGGAGCCAGGGGAACAGGTGGGGCTCAAACTCCGTTTTCTTGACTCCCAGCCATTAGATTGTGGACTCCTATAGCCCCCAAAATTAATAATCATAACAGGAACTGTAACCATGCTGAGTAGTCCCTTCTGCTTTTTCTCATTTAATATTTTTGATAATTCTATGAGATGGGAAGATGGGATCATTATAATTCCCATTGTGTGGGTGAGGAAACCATTTATGCATCATTCATCACCCACTCATCACTCATCTATCCATATACTCATTCATTCTTCCACCTGTCCAGCCATCCAACCATCTATCCATCCATCCACCCATCATCCATCCATCCAAGAGGCTGAACAACAGGTCCAAGGTGAGGTCCAGTAAGTGACAGAGGCAGGATTTGAATTTGGAATGTCTCACTCCATGCCGTG